AACCAGACCATTTTCCTTTGGCTTATTCTGACACCAGTGTATTTCCATGGGTGTCTTGCCATTGGCATCACAAGTGAAAAAATTTAAAGTAATTAAGGCTTGGTGTAGTCTACTTATAGATGATTTCTCTATACTCCCCCCTTTTTGTTTTTCATGTTGGGATTTTAACCTTTGGTGATGGTAGTCTATAATTGCCCGTGCCTGCAAATTATATGGTATTTAGGTAATGTGCTGAATTTTCCACTTTTTACAGAATTGCTAGAAATGACATCTTGTGTAAACAGGCCCATTATCAATTTTAATAATTTTTGGAATTCCCATGATGGCAAAAGCAGCCAGGCAATGATTAATAACCTATTTTGCCATTTCCCCTGTAGATGCAGTAACCCATAGGACTTTTGAAAAGATGTCTACAGACACATGCAATGCTCCAAGATGTCCATAATGTGTCACATCCAATTGCCATATATGGTCCCTTAGCAAACAGATTATCAGGGAATATCCCACTTGCATGTTATATCTACCTCAAGGGCCTAACATGGGAACCAAAAGGTGTAGTATAAAGGTGTATCCTCCAGTGGAGCTTTAATAACTTCTAATTCTTTGTACAGAAATATGACTGGCCAGTATGACTCGGGCTGAATTCATTGTATGATAGGTGGTTTTCCCATTAAATGATCGATCAGTAAAAACAATTAATGCTCCAGGGATAGGTTCCTACTTAGTATTTTTTCATATAATAATTGGGGTATAATATAAAAATGATATTATTTGTCTTTTAACAGGTAAAAAATAAGTATGCCTGAATATCCACTTAGTCTAATTTGCCAATTTAAGTCTGTTTGAAATAACATTTCTAATTGCTTCCCAGTAAAGGGAAGATAGATGCATATTGGTTCTTCTCCTCTAAGCTGCCTGCAGCGCTTTCTAATCTGAGATATCAACTGAGCCATAAGTTCTATATATTGAATATGTAACAGCACTTTTAGAGGACTGATGCCCTGGGTGGACCCGTTCAATAATAGCAGGAGAGTTTTCATTTTGGAAGATGACTCCAGTGGGACTATTTGTAGTATGGTTAATATGTCCCAATAAAGGTTCATGCTACTTGGGCTAAGAAGATCACCTGCTCAATTCTTAGCAACTTCTTTCTAGCTTCATCTGTCAATGTTTGGGGTGAGGAAAGATTAGAGTCACCCCTAAGTATATTAGATAAATATGTCATTTGTCCTGTAGAGATTTTCAGATAAGGTCTTAACCAGTTAATGTCCCCTAATAATTTCTGGAAATTATTTAGAAATTTTTAAAGTAATAAAATTGTAAAGCAATCTTTTATTATGTCCACCTTTTGGGGCCAAATGCATAGGTTTTCAATTAAGTTTCCCAGATATTTGAAAGGAATATCTTTCTGTATCTTTTCTGGAGCAATTTTTAAGCCCTATTTAGAGAGTTCCTTTTCTACTTGGGAAAACATTGCCAAAGTCTGCTCTTCTCATGGACTTGCTAAGAGCAAGTTACCCATCTTATGAATAATATAATATCAGAAATATTTGTCCCTTAAAGGGTGAACAGCTTGAGCTACATATTTTTGACAAAAGATGGGGCTATTGGCCATTCCTTGAGGCAAAACCTTCCATTGCTATCTTTTCATGGGTTCTATGTTATTAACAGATGGCACTGAAAAGGCAAACCTTAGTTTATCTTGAGCTGCCATGGGAATGGTGAAAAAACAATCCTTAAGATCTACTACTGTAATAGACCAATCTAGATAGATTTGAGAAGGCACCGGAGTCCAGGCTGGACAGCTCCCATGATATGCATAGTAGCATTGACCACTCTAAATTCATGTAATAATCACTATTTTCCTGCCTTCTTCTTAGGTTTAGTAAATATAGGTGTATTCCAAGAGCTGTTGGAAGGCTCTATGTGACCACCTTCTATTTGTTCCTGTATTAATTCATGAATATGACCTAATTTCTCCTTGGTTAATGGCCACTGATCCACCCATATAGGTCTATCATCTTTCCAGTGTATAGGATCAGCATGGGGCTGAGGAGACTGAGCAGTAACCACTCCTAAAAAGGTTGATATCCTAATCTTCATCTTCCTGGATTTCCTTTGACTTGGATGGGCTCTTTAATTTCCTGATTATTTTTTTCCTAAGCCTTGACCAGTCAGATATCCCATCTGAGTTATTAACTGCTGTCCTTTGCTGCTAATAATACAAGCTTATAAACTTTCTAAAACATCCCGGCCCCATAAATTGATTGCAATTCCAGAGACTATGTGGGCTAAAACCATCGTGTCTGTCCTTTCTTATCTTGCCACCTTAGCACTGCAGCACTACGCTGTGTGTTATCAGGAACTCTCACCCCTCTAACTGAGCCCATAGCTTCTACCACGGACCAACTTGGAGGCCAGAATTCTTTGCTGATAACACTGACATCTGCTCCAGTGTCTACTAAACCTTTAAACAGCTTTCCTTATATATCCCAAGAAACTAGAAACACCAATCAGAAAGGATATATGCACCCCTATGTTCATAGCAGCACAATCTACAATAGCCAGAATTTGGAAACAGCCTAGGTGCCCGTCAGCAGATGATTGGATCAAAAAACTATGGTACATCTACACTATGCTGCCATAAAAAAGAAGGAATTCTCATCATTTGCAGCAACCTGGATGGAATTGGAGAACATCATGCTGAGTGGAATAAGCCAATCAATGAAAGAGAAACACCACATGACCTCTCTAATTTATGGATAATAAAGAACATTATAAACTGATGAACCAAAAGATAGATATAGAGACAGTAAAGCAACAAGCAGACTGTCAAATTACAGTGGGGAGGGGAGGGAGATCTGGGGGAGATAATAGATCAACTGAAGGACTTGTATACATGCATATAAGCACAACCAATGGACATAAAACTCTGGGGAAGGAGGTTATGGGAGGGAGGGAGAGGGGCAAAAAAAAAATCAATAAAATATATTAAAATAAATAAATAAATAAATAAATAAATAAAAATAGCTTTCCTTCTATTCTTAAATTAATCATAGGATGGGTTTTGCTAATTTTCTATATCCAATAGATGTCTGAGCTTCCAAATCCTTGCATTCCTCTTTTCCTATTTATAGCCTAGCCTTGCTGAACATAAGGTAAAAGCACTATCTGAGCAATTCTTTGTCCTGGAGTAATTTGCATAATATGATTGCATTCTAATGTAACTTTAATCTCTCCCTCATAGTCTGGACTAAACAATTGGTGCATAGCTCTGGCCCTTGCCAAGGGCTCAAGGTTCAGCAGTGTTCCATCCTTGTTTACACTTTTTTGATAGTGAAGACAATGGGTGGCTTCTTGCAGCTGTCATGTCACAAAGGACAGTGAGTGGAAAGGGAACCCATAAAAAACTGTTGGGCATTGAAAAGGGGACTCAAAGGAATGTTGGCCCAGGAAGAAGCTTACTGCAGACTGATACCTTTGATACCTGACAGCAATTATAAAGGACATGATAGAACTCTATACTTTCCATTGAATTTAAAAATCTAAAAAGGACCCAAGCTCTGAAAATATCATACATTCTTGTTTAATTTATTAAACCAAAGAAGGGGGATATACTGGAGGCTAATTCCAGCAGGTCATAAATGCAAGAAGTTCATCAAAAGGTTGATCTATCTTGGGGCTTGGCTTCAGCAGGGCTGAAAATCTTCATGTTAATACCTGCTACTGGACAGCTGTAGGCATCTCCCCCAAACTATTTATACTTTACTGTTTACCAAACCTTACCTTTGATATGTATATCTGCTTTGCTATAAGGGAAATGTGGTAATAAAAAGCTTTGAATCTGAAGATTCTGGGAGCTCAGTGACTAAGCTGAGCCTCCCCTGGCTTTCCCCCATGCCTCCAAATTCATATTTCTTCTCTAGCATCTTTATTAATTGCATCACAGCCTTTTCTCCAGATTTCCCAACCCTAGGAGATGCTGAGAAAGACCCTAGCACTCATCCACACAGGTCAGCTTGCCCCCAGCTAGCCACACACAGCTCCCTTTGTCTCTGCTCACATCCCAAATCCTCAGAGACCTCACTGACCTTCTATTTAAAATAGCACCATCCTCACCCTGGCTGGTGTTGCTCACTTGCTTGTAGCATCACCCCATCCACAAAAGAGTCCCATGTTCAATTCCCAGTCAGGGCACATATCCAGATCTCAGGTTCGATCCTATACTGAAGGCAACTGATCAATGTGGATCTTTATCTCCCTCTCCCTTCCTTGCTCTCTAAAATCAATGAAAACATGTTTTCTCAAAAAAAATGCACCATCCCCTATCCTTCCATATCCCTTTCCCTTGCTTTAATTTTTCTTTAGAATACTTATTGCTTCCACTTTATTTTATCATTTATATGTTTGCTCCTGCTCTGATTTTTCCAATGGAAGAAAATGGAAGGTAAGCTCCATGAGGATAGGTTCTGCACATCTTATTCATCATGTATAACCTTGCCTAGAATAACACCATCACAGACTAGGCCCTCACATTTCATTTTATGGATGGATGCACAGTGGTATAAATTGATCAACTGACGGTCAGTGGATGGATGGATGGATGGATGGACAGATGGATCAATGGATGAAAGGCTGGAAAGACTGGTGAATGATCAATGGATGGATGAATGGATTCATGAATGAATGGGCAGATGAGTTGATATCCAAAATGCCACAGGGCAACACCTATAGAGCAGAGCACAAAACACTCTAGCAATTCTTGCATACGAATGTAACTTTATTTTTACCGCAAGCTGATTCATATTAACTCTTCCAGACACCTCTAATGGGATAAGTGTACTTGTTTCTAGCTTAAATTTCAGAATCTGGGAGTAGACGAATGAGTAACACAGGATCTGAAGGCTGCTAGAGCCCTCTGGCTTCCTCAGGTGGCATCTGCAGCCCATCCTTTCTCCTCTGATGTCTGGAGCTGAGATATCTTCAGCACAAGGGTGTTAGAGAATACCCATGGTCTTAGCTGAGTGTGGAGGCAGCAGTGAGATTGGTAAGGATGACTATAGTGGATGATGAGGACCATTTGCTGAGAATTGGAGAAGTCACATCAGGTGAAGCTTAAAAAGGATACAGGACACAGGAGGTGAGTGGCTTTGGCCTCTGGGAACCACTGCCCTACCTCTGCCAATGTCCTTGCTGTAGGACTCATTTTCTTTTCTCAGCTCAGGACTTCCCAAATATAGTTTTTGAACCTGGGAGACACACAGTAGTACCTGTCTTATTTTGGAGTTGGATATTCCCATTCCTTGTCCTTCCACCTGTCAAACTGGGGATTTCTTAAGGCCAGTACCAGGACAGTCACCCACATGCCTGGCCCAATATTTGTATGGCTAGATGCAATACATGCTCCCTGAGGATGCCCAGACCAAGGGGGCAGGGAGTGGTCTCTGTGTAGGAAAGATCTAGAATCAAGCCCAACCTGAAGCAGAGTTCTGGACATGAACTGACCTGAATGAGGCTTTGCATTATCTGACTTAATCCCCTCAACAGCCATGCTAGGAGGGTACTAACTAATATCAATCTCATGCCATCGATGGAGAAACTGAGGCTCTGACCACACTGCCAGTTTGTGGTAGAGCCTGGATTTGCTACAGGTCTGACTCAGAGCCGGTGTTCTTGGCAGTAGAATGGGTGCCTGGAGTGCATGTGAACATTTCTGGAAGAACACAGCGGTCACTAACTGGATAAAAGGAGGGATGAATCCTGGCCAGTGTGGCTTAGTTGGCTGGGCATTTTCTCAAACACCAAAAGGTTGTTGGTTCCATTCCTGGTCAGGGCACATGCATAGGTTGTGGACTGCCTTAATCCCCAGTGAGGGCTATGCAAAAGATAGCCAATTGATGTCCCCCTCTCTCGTCAATATTTGTCTGTCTTTCCTTTTCTCTCTCTCTAAAAATCAATATTTTAAATGTATATTTTTTAAGAATCTCAAGGTACTAGCCAAGGCAGATTGCTTAAGCACTCCAGGTCATGGCCTTCAGGGGGCACATGTTGTAATAATATCAGTTTCTCAAGCCTATCCCACTGCAGGGCTCAGGGGTAAGAAGCACCAGGCTGGAGTCTTCTGCCCAGAAGCGTTTGCCTGTATTTCAGGCCATCATTGGGGTGAAAATGGTTTTGAACCTGAAAAGTTGCCTCATTTCAGAGGCAACCAAACCTCTGTTTCCCAAGTTACTCTTCCCCACCCTACCTCCACCTCCACCCCAAGCTTTCCCAGGTGGGCGCACCAAGTGTCTGGAACCCTTCCATTCTGCCATGTCCCAGCTTAAGAAGCTGTCTGCAGCAGGCTCCTGTGGAAAGATTGTACCAGTAAAGGGGTGTTCTAGAAGCCCCCATCACCTTGGGGAGGGAACCTTATATTGGACTAACAGGAGCCACTTGGGCAGAGCCTGTGAGGGAGCTTGAAGATGGCAGGGCAGTGATTTTGAATGAGGGAAGTGGGGAACAGCCACAATGGTCAGAGTAGAGTGGGGACTTGGCCAAGAATTTAGGGTTACATGGGCCTTAAAGATGTCAACTTGTGTACACAGAGGTGTCTAAATGTCAGAGCTGTCACAGCTGCCCAGGTGGGCTGCCTTGGACTTATATGGGTAATGGGTATAACGGGTCACCCCATAGGCAGTGTATGTCATTTGGACCTTTTCTTTGGCCAGTGAGGAGTATGGTATTTCCTGGCCCTGGGAACCCAGCTCTTAGCCATCAGCTCCCTGTGCCATGTTCAGATTCTTGAGCTCTCCTCAGATACCTGAGCTCAGGTCCCACGATGTAGCAGATGGAGGCAGGCAGGAAGCCATTGAAGGTGGAGCTCAGGACTGCACTATAGGCGCCCATGGAGGGGAAGATGAGCCAGTCACCCACGTCCAGCTCAGGCAGCTGCACTTCCTCATTGAAGAGCTTGTCAAAGGCAGTGCACGTGGGACCATAAAGGATGCAGGGGAAGAGGGGCGGCTGTGAGCAGAGCTCCTGCAGGGACATGGGGTAGGAATCAGAGGAGGAAGAGCTCCTGCCCCCACCACCCTCACAGCCCATGCCCTCGGCCAGCAGAGCACCCCCAGGCACAGCAAGGACACAGGCCGTCACCCACACCAACCAGTCCCTATGTGCCAGGCACTGCTCCTGACCGAGCTCATGGAGCTTATAGTCACTCAAGTGACACATTCTAGCCCTGCCAAATCTCAAGGCAAGACACAGGGGGCCTGTTTCCCATCTTTAAAAGCAAGAGGTTTAAGTCATTAATCACTCAAAATATTGGGTCAAACTCAGCTACACATTGGAGTCACATTGGAGGAGTTTTAATCAAGGATGGATGCCACGTCCCAACCCATGAGAGGCCTGATTTCAATCATCTGGCCTTTGCCAACCATTGGGGTCCTTCGCAGATGAATCTACTGTGAAGCAAGATGGAGACTCTCCATTTCCTAGGACTACTGCATCCCAACATTCAATGATCCAGATAACACACACACACACACACACACACACACACACACACACATATTCACACACACATATTCACACACCTCATACAGAGAGATCACATGGAAACCCAGAAGCAAACCGATGTGCTTACACACCCACTCAGGACCATGGACCTGTCTACCACCTACCTGCACAGGTGTCAGTCAGCATGCTCATACACAAAAATGCACACACACACACACGGAAGTGCACATGGAAAAAACATACAGACATGCCTATGCACATCCTTGTACGCACATGTGGTATGACAATCTGCAAAGCCATGTGCAATCTAAGATTCTGCACTCTGCCTCACAGGTAAGAGGGATCTCTGCCTCACAGGAAAGAGGTCTGATGTCAGTATTGTCAGGGTCTGGGCCTCCTTACCTTCACCACAATTGGCATCCTGGGGACACGGTCCCTGAGGAAGGATCGAAAGCTGCCATAGTGGCCGTCATTGAGGTAGTACAACAGTTTCCGGTGGCCTCCTGGGAGAGGGGAAAAGACAGGACTGTGCTCAGCCAGGTGTCACCACTGACCGTCAGCACTGAGTCCAGCACCCGTAGGACTGGCCCAGGCCCTCTGCCCAGCACTGGATAACCTTCCCTGACCCCCAGCCAGAATTAGCCCTGTTCTCTAGAATCCCACTCCTCTTCTGCCCACCTGCACATCGGGCCTGTTCTCTGAGTTCCCATTGCTCCTCTGCCCCACCTGCACCCCCCACATAACAAACAATCAAAAACCCTCCTGAGATGGTGACCTCGATATCATGTACTGTTACCCAAAAAATGTCACCCTTAACCTCCAGGCCCTGATACCAACAATATTTCCTTCATGTGTGTGCTGTAAAATTAGTATTTAATGACTGTATCTTTTTGTTATAAAACTACATGCCTGTTAGAAAATGCCGGCTTGGGAACAGTGAGGTGCACACAGGGAGTGGAGGCTGTGCCCTCAGACTTCCCCTCCAGGCACAGGGAGAACAGACCCCATGCCTCCCTCCAGGTCGTCTGAGAACAGCACAATAATGTTACTGACAGGTTCTGTCCTGTAGCTAAATCACAGCATCTTTTTCCCAAATGTGGAACTCAGACCCTCTGCTCCTCCTTCCCCGAGGCCTGGGGACCACTGGACAGAGTGCTCCCAGCCCAGTCCGGGCCCACCCACCAGGCTGCAGCACAGCCTTCTTGGCAATGATGTTGACAGCGGCCACGTAGACAGATGCCGCATAGAAGCAGCCGGGCTCTGCAATGACTTCAATGCCGGCTCCCTCGGGGAAGTCCTGGGCCAGGGCAGCATTGATCGCTCTCGCCATCTGTGGGGACAGACCCGAGCCCTGTGAGGCCAGTTCCTATGCGGGGCCTTTCCCTGCATCTTCTCTCTTCATTCCCCTGACAGCTCTGTGGGAAGGTGTCAGCATCCCCTTGAGCAGGGGAGGAAACTGGTGAAACTGTGGCGGGGGACAGGGGGGGGGGGGGGGGGGGAGATGCCCGAGGACACAAGCCTAGTGATCAGGCTGCAGCACCATGAGGTCTGACTCGGAAACATTGAAATCAATACATGATCAGCAAAGGGGGACTGTCCCCTGGGTGTGGGGGACACAGTAAGCACACCTCTATCTGATGGTAGCCTTACTAGGGGTGTTAACCAACATGTCTAAAGAAAGCACAGAACTGCATGCACACACTCACACACACACATAGACACACACAGCTACACTCATACACATATACACACATATGCGCACAGGCCACACAGGTAGAGTCAGACACCTCTCAACCAACACAAAGCCCAGCTGCATGCAGCCACAGGCCTAAGTGCCAAGAGCCCCCTGTGCACTAACACACACTCCGTGCAATGAACCCAGGCTGGGACCCCAGACGCCCTCTCCTCCTCCCTCTTACCTCCTCAAACTCCAGGTCAGAGCCCTCCACTCCGGGGAAGCCCCCTCCAATGTCCAGGAGGCTCATGTCATGCCCGACCCCACGGCCCATCTCGAACACGCGCCGGCAGTCGGCGATGGCCTGTGTGAAGCTGTGGGGATCCCGGCAGCCGGAGCCCACGTGGAAGCTGAAAGCAGGCGCAGAGACAGGGCAGGAACATACGAGGAAACGCAAGTGTCAACAGGAGGAAGTGCACATCGGGAAACAGCCACACAGGCACAGTGTGAACCAGACAGACACAGACACGGAGACACGTGAAATGACATGGAGCTCGTGGGCACCCACAGAAACCACAGCCTCGGCCGTGCACATGGGAACCCCAGAGACACATACACCCTATGACAGTCCGTGAGTTGGGGCTCTTGTGGTTGTGTGGCATTCACCTCTCTTAGCCATGCCTCCTAAAGCTTCCCCTTCTTCTCCTCCCTGGGAAGCATGTGATCTGAACCCCAAATCTCAAACCACCCACCTGGGAGGGCAGAGGACCCAATTAGGGGCAGGTGGGGTGAGGTGAGGGAGGGCACTTCTCAGGTGCAACATTCAAGAGGGCACCAAAGCACTGAGCAATCAACAGAAGTAACCTTCATGTAATACACACATATATTAGAGAGAGAGCAAGAGCGAGTGCGAGGGAGACTTCAATTGGTTGCCTCCTGTATACATCCCATCAAGAGATCAAACACACTGATGCAAAAATATCCATGATGAATAAATACAAAATCTTTAAATAAAGACAAGATTAGTAAAGAGTATTTGGACCCAGAAGCAAAAGGAAAATCAGAAATGCCAGTCCTGTCTTGATTTAAAATTTTGACATTCTCTCATCATGGATTTATTCTGCATTAATTTTTTTAAATACTGTATTAAAACATTATTTATCTCAAGTACAAAGTTTTCGGCATCCCATTAATCTTTGCTCCCAAAGCCAGTGCCTTGCTTGCCCCACCCTCCCAGCAGCTGGCATCCACCTCCTCTTCTGAGGACCACATGGAGCCACCGGGTACAAGGCCCCCTGGTTAGTCAGAGGCTGGGGACAGGAGTGGGGACCAGGAGCCCTGCCTCACAGGAGAGAAAGTCCGGGTTCTTACCTGGCTCCCACCACAGCCAGGCCTAGGTCTCGGGCAGACTTGAGCAAGTGTCCACACAGCTCCAGGCTGGCCCCAAACTTCGCGCTCATAGGGACGCGGCTCTTACTGTCCTCGGTCCACAGTCGGAGGACCAGCCTGGGAGAGGGTGTGAGGGTGACAGGCATTCTTAGACACATGAACCCCAGGCCTGAATGCTTTTCTGTCCCCACCCAAAAACCCTCTACCCTCCCTCTACCCCTGCCTCAGTCCTCTGGACTGTCCAGCCATGGAATTCCAGGGAGGGGACACACTACATTTTTATTTTTTTAAATATATTTTTATTGATTTCAGAGAGGAGGAGAGAGGGAGAGAGATATAGAAACATCAATGATGAGAGAGAATCATTGATCGGCTCCTCCTGTACGCTCCTTACTACAGAACAAGCCTGCAACCTGGTCATGTACCCTTGACGTGAATCTAACCCAGGACCTGTCAGTCCACAGACCCGACACTCTATCCACTGAGGCAAACCAGTTAGGGCTACACTTCTTTTACGCTTCTGCCCAGGCAAGAAAAAGCAGGAAAAAGACAAAATTATAAACATCCCCTCAGCAGACCTCCTGTCACAGGATCACAGACGTTAAATAGCTTTCTCAAGAACAAGTAAGTCTGACAAGTGAGTCAGAAATGTGAGCCCTGGACTTCCTGAATCCTATGAGAGTGCTTTTTCCACGAGGTTGCTGACTCCAGACCTCCTAATGCCAGGCTCTGCCAGTGTCTCTGCAGACACAGGAAACCTTTATTTGACAGGAGTGGGCACCGGGGAGGCACCGGGACACCCGACCCACATTCTTGTTCGCTGCTGCTAAAGCTTCTCCTAGTCTCCACGGAACAGCCTTCATCTCCTCCCTGAGGCCCCACCTGCCTGCAGGCCTGCTGGTCTCACCTGGCCCCAGGGTGGTGCTGGGCCACCTTGGTCAGCACCTCCTCACTGTCGAAGGTCAGGAGCTGCACCCCATGGCGGGCAGCATACTGCAGGTGGGAGATGGGCTTGCAGGGGTGGGCATAGATGATGCGTGAGGGGGCCACACCCAGGCTCAGCACCTGCTCCAGCTCCACCTGCAGGGGCAAAGCCAGAGTAAGGGGCTGCCTCCCTGCTGCCCTGCTTTTTGGGCACAGAAACCCAGGGTATGAGGGGTTGTCCCCTATTAGCCCCTATTGTGCACCTGGCCCAGCACTGGGCACATATTGTGCTATTTAAGCTCTAAGGAACATAGAGTTGAATCCATCTTATTTTTCTTAATATATTTTATTGATTTTTTACAGAAAGAAAGGAAGAGGTATAGAGAGTTGGAAACATCAATGAGAGAGAACATCAATCAGCTGCCTCCTGCACACCCCCTACTGCGGATGTGCCGGTAACCAAGACACATGCCCTTGACCAGAATCGAACCTGGGACCTTTCAGTCCAAAGGCAAACACTCTATCCACTGAGCCTAACCAGTGAGGACTGAACCCATTTTAAGGACCAAGAAATTGACACTCCAATGAAATAGCTGTGCCAGGACAGAACAGGGTCTATGGATTAAAGCGTGTGTTTCCTTCACTCCTTAGCTCAGGCTGACTGTCTTTGTCACCTAGACCAGAGGAGGGTGGACCACTCCTACTTCATTTATTCTTTCACATACAACTGGGCACCACACACGTCAGCCACTGTTTATGAGCTGCTATCTTGACTCCTGGAAATTAGCCTTTTCCCTCTAGGAACTGTCAAGCCTATGAAAGAAGCAACTGGCAGTGGCCCAGGCTCACCTGGCTGGCACAGTCGAAGCCGGTGCCCAGGGCGGCCAGGACACGCAGTACCCAGGCGCTGCTGTTACACTTCACTGCATAGAAGGGGGAGATCCTTGGCAGAGCCTGGCAGAAAGCCTGATGGCGGCTGGCCAACACACCCAGGTTGGCCACCATGAAGGGGTCTCGTTGGTCCTGCCAAGACAGAGAGAGAGAGGCAAGAACGGCAGGGAATTGTGTCATTTTATTGAGTCCTTAGACTGTCTCTATGCAGCAAGTACTACTGGGCTCCCTGTTAGGAAAAGGAATCTATGGCTCTAAAATCTCTTTTCTCTTTTTAAAAATATTTCCTGTTTATTGAACTTATTGGGGTGACACTAGCTAACAAAATTATACAGGTGTCAGGTACACTAAAATGTGAGTCTGCCCATCAAGGTCAGTAGCAACTTCATGGCAATGGTAGGATTTGAGCCTTGATCTTCTAACTCCCACAACAGGAAGTCAAGAGGCAACAAGCTCCATAGATCAAATGGGCACCAAAACTCTCCAACCCTCACCCAGATCACTTGGCACAGGGTAAATTCCCAGGAGCTGGTGGGAGACTCAAAGGGGACAGGGGAACTATCCCATGCCACCAGTAAACACAGCTATTCAGTAAGACATAGGAACTGACTCATAAAATACAAACAGAAAGTCTTATTTTGTCCCGGCCTAAGTAGGGACTGAGACCTACCCTCCACTCCCCACTGCATGATCTTGCCCTCCCCTCCCTCCTCTCCCCTCACCGAATCAGAGAGCTCCTGGATCTTCTTCAAGACAACCTCCATGGCAGATTCCTCAGTTCGCAGAGGGATGAGATCCTTCAACAAAGAGCTTCCAGGGCATCCTTCCTTCTCCTTCCAGTCCTTGAGGGTGGTGCTCGTCCCTGACTGTCCATCAGAGCCCTCTGCCAGCATCCTGGAAAGGCCTTGCTCTGAGGACACTCCTCCCTCCTCTTCCTCCCAGCGCCCTGGTGGCCCATGAAGCCAGAGTTCCTAGGCCAGTATGTCCTTGGTGCTCCCATGCAGACACTAGAGCCCCATGGAGCCCTTGTGAACTTTCCTATCTGTAGGATGGACCACTGGCCAGGCCCAGCCTGCTTCAGAGACCTAGTTTGGGATCAAGGGAGATGCTCAAAAGATCCTCTACCGTAGGTGGATGGCATCCTCTCCCAGGCTCCTTCTCTCACATGTTCCCATTCACAGATGAGAAATGTGACCCACAGAAAAGGTAAGTGCAGAGTCCACGATCTTTAGATTATAGGGCTAAAGATTACAGGGGATCACCTAGCCCAACATCCCACTTTACACATGTGGACAAGTCACCCAGAGAGAGGAAAGGACTTGCCCAAGGTCACCAAGTGGTCAGTAACTGAGCTGGGACTGGCATCTGGGCTGCCTAAAGCAGCCACTGCACCTGCTGCTGGCCACCCATCCCTGAGACTGAAGTGAGGGCCGCCTACAGACTGAATCTTCTGATTCAGCAGTTGGGGCTGCAACCATGGGTCCTACTCCACCCCCAGACTCACCTGGTGCCGTTCATCTCCTGCTTCCTCAGGCCCAGAACAGGGAGACCAGGACCTATGGAGTCTTGAGCTTCATGTAAATCCCTTTGGGAAGAGCAGAACTCAGCTCAGATCTCAGGCCAGGTGAAGTACCTGTGAAGACTGCCCCTCCAAACAACGGCTACCACAACCCACTCAGCCAAAACTTTCCAGCGCTGGGTGGGCCATACAACAGGCCCTCAGGTAAAGTCAGGCTCCAATTATAAATGAAACCAGTAATTATAAGAGTAGAGAGACCCTGGGAACACAGTCACCTATCTTCCCACCTCAAAGATGGAAACACCATGGGCTCAGAGGTCTTCAGACAAATCAGCAAAGCTGGCATGGAGCTGGGAGTAGAACCTGACCTCAGACTCCAGCTGGTCTCTCTTGGTGCTGTGTCTCTGCCCTCCCTGCACATTTAAATGTCTGGCTGGGAGACTCTTATTGGAAAGTGTGCCCTCTGAATCACTTGGTGTCCAATCATACCCCCACATTCTCACTGCACTTTCCCTCCATATGAGTTGCTGAGGTCTTACTCTGACTTGTTGGTCTGCCCAGGATCAAACATCAGGTTGATGCTCTGGGCCTGCCCCTAGGCTTCTCTGACAGCATTCAGCCCAGGCCAGGATGGGGAGATGATAAAAATCTCAGGGACACAGAACCCAGGCCCTCAGCCCTTCTACCTCTATGGCAGCTTGAGGAGGGAGGCAGTTCATACCCTGAACTCAGCAAAGCATTTGAGGATACAAATTAGCTTTGGAGGGATTTTGGTCAGGGTGGTGATAAATATAATGTCATTATTTAGTGCTTACTCACTACCAAGCATCCTGCCATGTATTAAACCATTTAACACTCACAAAACCTTACCCATATAGTTGCAATTATCTTACAGGTAATAAAACCAAGGCACAGAGATAGAATCTATTTACTAAGACAGAGAGTGCATGAGATAATGCATGTAAATCTCATATTTAGCACCTTCATATTATTGGTTAAGAACTCATTAAACTGAGAGAGGAAACCAAGTTGGTAACCGAGGTAAATGCCAGGACTTGCTGGCTCTCACAACCACATCAAAATTGCAACTAAAATACAGAACAACCATCATTCAGGACCACCTGAACTGAAGTCCTACAACTAGAGAATTAAAGAAGCACATCAATACTGGTAGAAAGGGTAGAGGAGTGAAACGGGCTGTTCCAACACCCATGTGTGGTATGTTTTTAATCGAGAGGAATTACTTGGCTGCAGAGGCCTCTCCAGAGGAGCAAAGTGTCCTAGCCCCTTTTCCACATGAATAGCATGTCCCCTCAGCCCAGGATGCCAGTGCTGTGATGAGATCTCCCTGTGACAAGCTGGGATTGCAGCTGAGTGACATGGAGGCTGCTGAAGACTTAGGCAGTTCCTCTTAAAGTAATTGGCTGGCACACAGAATTACTCAAACTCACCTCCTCTGAGCTCCAGTGCTGGGGCAGCAGCTTGAAAGGATCCAGGGACATATGGGGAGTAACTTAATTGTCTGGCATCAGGAAAAGACCTCCAGGACAACTTTCTCCTAGACAAAAGTGCTAGAAGGAATCATTGTTCCTATACTGAGGCCTCCCCTCCTGAAGAGCTGATTGACAGGCACCATATCTGAGTTTCCATCAATCTGGTTCACACTGTTTACTCTACCCTGGTGATTCCCTGAGACCCTGCCCCATCCAATTTGCAACCCTACTCAATTTTCAATCACAAGGTCTGAGGAGTCTTTTCCATATGAATGGCCTGTCCTGGCTCGGGCTTTAAACTTCATTAAAATCTCTCAAAGAAGCATCAGCTGGTGTCAGCAAGCCCCATACCACTCAATAAGAGGCCCCAGGTCCAGCACTGGCAGTGGCCTGCCTTGCTTCACATCTTGGCCTCTTCTGGGTACTTCTAAACCCAATACAAATACCAGCCATCTGCAGATCATTCTGTAACCTGGCTAGGGTCCCAAATAGGGCACAGGCAGTGGCTGGCTTTAAATTTCCAGAATGTTCCCAGAGCCATTGTACCTAATTGACAGCTTCAGGCCATGCCAGATTACAACTCTACATATCCATGAGCAACACACTCCAGGGGCAGACTCACAGCACCAAAGCCTCACTGAAGCAAGTTGCATAGGAGTGTCTCCTGCATGGCAGCTCTTCCACTGTAGTCACAACTTGAACTCATAGCCAATTGGCCTGGAGGTCAATTCCTCCCAGCGAAGCTAATAGCAATCAAAGCTCAACTACAGCAAGACAGTATACAAAGATGACAAAGGGGCGCACCTAAAATGCCCAGCTCGGGTGATGGGGGAGGAACACCCAACCAGAAGAGCAAAAATAAATAAAGATAAAAACTATGAAGATAGTATAAGGAGCCTCTGGTACAACTTTAAACATACCAACATTTGCATCATGAAGGTGCCAGAAAAAGAAGAGTGATAGCAATGTATTGAAAATCTCCTTGAAGAAATAATGACAGAAACCTTCCCCTGCTTGGTGAAAGAAATAGACTTATAAGTCCAGGAAGTGCAGATGCCCACACCAAGACACATCATAATTAAAATGCCAAAAGTTAAAGACAAAGAGAGAATTTTAAAAAATATATATTTTATTGATTTTGTACAGAGAGGAAGGGAGAGAGAGAAACATCAATGAGAGAGAGACATCAATCAGCTGCCTCTTGCACACCCCCTACTGGGGATATGCCCGCAACCAAGGTACATGCCCTTGACCGGAATCGAACCCGGGACCCTTCAGTCCCCAAGCCGATGCTCTATCCATTGAGCCAAACCGGTCTCGGCCAAAGAGAGAATCTTAAAAACAGCAAGAGAAAAACAGTTACTTACTTATGAGAAAGCACCCATATGACTATGAGCTGATTTCTCAACAGAAACATTGCAGGCCAAAAGGGAGAGTCAAATAATATTCAAAGTGATGAAGAGCAAGGACCTACAACCAAGATTACTCTACCCAGCAAAGCTATCATTTAGAATTGAAGGTCAGATAAAGAGCTTCACAGACAAGAAAAAGCTACATGAGATCATCACCGTCAAATCAGTATTACATGAAATGTTGAAGGGTCTTCTTTATGAAAAAGAAGAAGGAGGAGGAGAAAAAAGAAGAAGAAAAGGAGGAGAAGGAGAAGAAGAAAAGAGATAAAAATATGAACAATAAAATGGCAATACATACATATTTACCAACAATTGAATCAAAAAATTAAAATAAACTGCCCTGTCTGGTTTGGCTCAGTGGATAGAGTATCAGCCTACAAACTGAAGGGTCCCAGTTTGATCTGGTCAAGGGCACATGCCCAGGCTGTGGGCTCAATCCCCAGAAAAGGACATACAGGAGGCAATCAATCAATGATTCTCTCATCATTGATGTTTCTCTCTCTCTCTCTCTCTCCCTGCCATCCTAAAATCAATAAAAATATTGTTAAATAAATAAATTAAATTAAAATTAATGAACAAGAAATCTAATGAACAAAATAAATGGATGAATAAGATAGAACCAGAGGCATAGAAACATGAAATAAACAGATGAATCCCATCAGAAAGCAGGGAGAGGGGGTGGGAAGAGGTAACTAAAAAACTTATATGCATATATGCATCACCTGAAGATACAAACAATAGGGTGGTAAAAGCCTGGGGCAGGGTGAAAACAGGGTAGAGGGGCTAAAGGGGGAAAAAATGGAGACTTCTATAATACTCTTGAAAATAAAGATTTTTTTTAAAGAACTCATTTAACTAGTTTATGATGATGAGGA